CACGGGGACTTGATTAGCAGCAAGGTATGGTGAGATGAACCACCTCCCTGATGCTGGCGTGACACCCACGCACCAAGCCTTTTAAACAGAAGTGACAGATGCAAGCAACTCAAAATGGACTAATACCACTCCAAGCAGAAGACTACTTAAATCAGGACAACAAAGAAACGGCTCCTGAGAGGATCCTCTGCCCCGTACCAGGGGAAGGAGAAAATGCTGAGCCTTGGCAGCGCTTTGCCCAAAAGCCCAGGAGCACCCAAAGTTGTGCTGCGTGCCTCGCACAGCCAGAGTCACCTCTCACTGAACTGGAAATTTCGAGCGAGTACTGTTTTGCACTGTTAGCTCGCTGCTAGCCCACAAAATAATTTTATGGTATTTTCCATAGCATGTGCACTTTAAAGGTTTTTAGAAGCAGTGGTGGGAGTGCAGTAAGAATGAGTAACTAACTAGTAACCCGACAGCCAGGCACACATGCGTATCTACTTAAGCCTCTGAGCTGCACTAATTATTCGTAATGCTAGCAACACTTCCATGTACCAAACCAGAAGTCTAAATTAAAGTATACAGCTATTGAGGGAGAAAAATGCATTCTGTGAAACAGAATACTCACTTTCAGCCTACAGGTTATATGTAGGCTATATGTGTATATAGTCTATATGTTATACTTACATAGCTATAGTAAACAGTTATCATCTGTCTCAATATGCGTAGGTATACAGAGAAAGAAAGCAATATAGTTAAGGACAATGCATGTGTATTGAAAAAATGCAGGAAGGAAAACCAACCCTTTCTTTTAGAAAAATACCAGTGCAAGAATAAGCAATCCTGTAACATGACTGCAGAAAACAAATCAGACTTAGGAAAAAGGGCAGGGCGACTCTATTTTGTAATTTTTACTGCCTCTGAAACAATGACGTAGCAAGAGCCCGCTGCTATCATTTCTCCCCTTTTGTCCCCTTAAAATGATTCCCACCTGGGGTGCAAAGAGAGGAAACGAAAGCGAGTAGAAAATTATATTTTTCATGAGCTAATCCTGGGAAAGTGACCGCGCAGGTTTCCATGTTTCTTGGCAATAATAATTTAAACAAGGACAGCAATCTTTCGTTATTTTTTACACAGCTGGAATGCACGCTTCCAGATAACAGACAGCGAAAGTGCAATTTAAGGAGAGGAGGAGGACAGTAATCGATAGGTATTCAGGAGTCCTCTCCTCTTAGGACTGCTGCATAGCTCAACACAGTATGCTTCAGAACAGAGAGCCCAGATGCAAACCTCTGGAACTCCTGAAGGTAACAAGATCATCAGAAAAAAACCCAAACTGAAAGCAAAGAAAGCACAACTACTGTACCTTTACTTTGGGGAGGGTTCTGACTTCTGTCTCGGAGAACATTAATCTGGTAGACAGCTCCATAAGGCTCAAAAAGTTCTTTTAACTCTTTTTCTGACCATGAACGGGGAATCTGTCCAACAAACATCTTAATGGCATCTGGGTCTGGTTGGTCTGAATGATCCAAAGCTCCATTCATCTTGTTAGCTGTGCCGTTACTAGAAAGTGGGAAAGGAGATTAAAAAGAGGAGGCAGGTTAGGAGCGTACGGAGTTTTCATGTGCACTAGATGCAGAAGATGATGTCAATTGGCACAAAGCAGGAAAAAAAAAAATCAGTATTTAATTAATAGCATAAGTATTATGAACCAAAACCAATGCAATTACATTTTTCATTGAGTCTGGTTTTCTCTGCAGGCTGCTGTTTAATGTCATTATATAAGAAGAGAGCGGCACAACACAGACCAGGACTTTTGCATTTTAAAGCCGAGGATAGTTGCAAATAAGTGCGGGTTTCTCTCCATGACTCTTGTAAACAGAACTGCAGCAAAGTCTCACTGAACAGGCTACTGGCAGAAATAAGACAGTGCGTGTGTGTGTGTGTGTTTTGTAATAAAGTCACATGAAAGGAATATGAAACACTTGGCAATCTGTCAGATGACTAATGCAAGATGCCAGCGATGAATTTGCAGATTGTGTGAAGCATCCATGTGTGCATCAAATTAGTATGATATTGCCCAGAATGGAAAACACCCCAGCTATGTGGCTGGTTGCTGCTGATTAGTTGCCTACGCTCTTTAAAAAAGGAAAAGCAGTCTGGAGAGCTCCAGTTTAAAGCACATTGTTTATTGCACCCTGGTACTAAAAAAAAAAATATCACAATTCAAAAAGAGAAGGCAGTGGCAAAACTGCCTACTTTGTTGCAAAAATTAAAATGCTGCTTCAGAAAGTTTTTCTCCCTGCAAAACAACATGAAATTTTTGAAATTTTTCACACCCTGTAAATCGATACCCTATCTGATCTCCAGATGTATGTCTAAGTTCAAAACAACCACACACTTTTGCAGGGGAAAAGGACTTAATAAGAACAAATAACCTGCTCTGTGAGGAAAATGGCATATTGTGGTTTCGGGAGAGCTGTACTCTTACAAGGAAAACAAATAATTTAAAATACTGAACTAAGGTAAAATTACAAAAAACCCTTCACAACATTATTGATAATTGAGGACAGTAATTTCAACTAATTACTTGGCTAGAGTTTCCATAAGTGATAATTTTTGGATGCTCCAGTTTCAAGAAAGAACACTAATGAGACGTGTCTTTTAGAGCATTCCCCCCACCTTTTCACTGGGATAAGGGGGGAAATGGCCTGTGTTCAGCGATGTTGGAAGTTGATCACTGCAGAATTCAGGCATTTCAGAGCCACCTGCCATATTCAAAAAACTTGACTTTAATTACAGTTTCTATGTTTGATGGTTGTTCAGGAGAGAATGCCCACAGGAGGACTTGGAAGAGCTCGAAATCTGCACAACCAGACAAAAATCGTATTTTACATGTGGAAGAAAAAAAAAATCTAAGAATGGCAAGACAAAAGCAACCCTGTGTAATTCCCCTGTTTCACAGCTATAACCTGTGCAAAGACAAATTATTTAGTTCCATGTGTTTCATCTACTGGAAAGCATAAGTCACCTGAACACATTAATATGCCCATATTCACTTTAGCACTTTCCCTTCTTATGGCAGGAAGGAGAAAGTTATACTCAAAGCACATTTTAAACCAACAAGAAGTTTGATCATCACTTGTCAAATGTCCTCAACACAGATCAGCAGACAACAGAATTTATTACACCCATTTATTTGACAAAATTCCTATTGATTCTACTGGGGATCTTGCCTGAGTAAGAGACTGAAAGATTTGGTCCAACCTTTTTTATCACGTTTCATACACAAATACTATCTTTTGTCTTACATATGTTCATTGCTTTGGAGATGTTCTACAGGTCACAAGCACAGAAATCACAATTTCTGGAGAAATGGAGAAATCACAGTTTCTCCAGGTCTTAGAAACTACATTTTCCATACGTATGTAACACTTAAGACAAACCAAACCAACCAACTGAAGAACACCTTTCCCAAAGTTTCCAAGAAAGAGATAATCCCTGACTGACTCAATTGAATGACAGTCCATGGGAATGATGTTCAATGAGCAGCACATGACACACCTCTAGAAAATCATTGTTATTTCTTTCCCATTCCTATTCCTTCATGCAAAACCCAATCTGTTAAACAACCTCCCTAATAGGGAGGTTGAAAAACCCATGACCCACAGCTTAAAATAATTAAGCAAAATGTTTACACGTTATTTTCGACTTGAAAAGACAAGAAAAGGTAGAAGCTTGGCTGTGCAGCCCTCTGCTTTGTCCTGGCCTCACTCGACTATTTTCTTTTAGAAATCAGCTTCTCTTCTTTCTTAATTTATTCTCTCTATTGTTTACATCAAAAAATGAATTGAGTTCATTTTTAAATCATGCCCTTCATCTATTCTCTCTGCTGGATCCCTTCTTTAAGAAATCCATACGCAATTGCTACTTTAGCCCAAAATTACAGCAAAGGTCATATGTAATAACAAGTTTATTCCTTTGCTTTTTCCTTTATCCACACCATCCTTACCACCAAGGGCATCACAGTTTCCATGGCTAAAAAGCCAATTTTTAGAAAACCACAAAACCAAACACTTCTACCTGTTTTCTCAGGTTAAAGACCCCATTAGCATCAACTTCCTGCTTCGAGCTAAAGGTTTAGGTGCAGGCCAAGATCTCTTCTAATTCCACAAAACGCTTAAATCCTTACTTTACTTTCGTGGAACTGAAGTCAAATTATGTGGATGATATTCCTTAAATGCTTTATTGGATAAAGATGGTTAAAGGCTCGGAGTGCAGGTGTAGGCTACTGTACACCGTGATGCAAAGCTCCAGGGGACAGGTTTTGTCACTCACTGCCTGAATTAAGTTGGGTAAGTCATTAAAACTTCTCTGAACTAAATTCCATCACCCACTGACAGCTCTGCCAATCCACTAACTCCTGCAGATTTAGGAAAAAACCAAGTGTAATTCAGAAAAGGATTATGAAGAAAAGTCTACCACAAGGCAGGGGTTTCACTGCGCTGCCAACATTTTGGTGGGTTAATAGGCAGGTTCAGTCTGCAGAGAGGGCACATTTCTACAAGCACGGCTGGGCTCCTTCCTAATTGCATTTCCTTTGACTTGGAAGGAGGGATCCTCCTCTCACTGTCGGGGTTTTGAGGAGCACTTGAGCACCGTCACTGAAATGGCACTCGCAGTAGCATCCTCACCCAGATTTGGCAGTAGCTGTAGGACTACGTCCAATGCAGACAAACTGAACAAGCAAATAAAACAACAGAAAGGTAACGATGGAAAAAAACCCCACAATTTTACAGGTTCTATGGATCTGATCCCTGCAGTGTACCTGAAGGTTCCACTGAGGAACACAACTATACATCGTACCTGCCTGGCAGTTCCGTTGTCACAGAGCTGGTTGGGTCAATACAAAATCCAGCCAAATATTCTTGATCCCTTGCCAGCTCTTTCTGCTAAAGATGAATTCCCATATCCTCTCCCAGCCTTCACCCAATGGACATTACTGCTCTGCATGAAGACCTCTTGGTCGCCAACAGCTACAGGGGTTTTGGTCACTTCTCTTTGCCAACACAGTGGCTCTCCGAGGAAGTGGCTCCTTCCTTCCCCCATCTTCCCCTCCTGCTGTACCCAAGAGATAACTAAGCAGAAGAGAAACCATGCGTGAAACTTTCCGAGAGGAGGCAAAGCAATCCTTGCGAAAGCGAAGGACTGTTTCTTGAAAGCATGGGCATACAGAGGTAGCTGTGTCTGGGGACACTAATGAGAACAGGATCCCTTGACAATTACTGTCAGTACCCAAATGGTGACACACATTAAAAAAAAAAAAAAAAGAGAAAAAAAAATTTGATTATGTGGCTTGCTGTCTCTACATTGCAGCAACCCTTTCCTCCATGACCAATTTAGCCCACTGGGCTCAGGGGTGACCCAGCACATCATCTTCACTGACAAGGTGTCATCTACATCGCAGAGAGCAGCTCAAGGGCAGAGATTAAGCCACTGAGTCGTTGGCTGCTTGTGGTTGCTGCCAGAGCATCCTCTCTCTCAATTTGTGCCAATTTTCCTTCTAATAACCTAACTACCGTCCCATCATTTCAGCAAGTTGACAGGGCCACTCTTTGAGCAGCTAGAGATTGTTTTAATATCGCTGCTGCTTAAGCAGAAGCACCGGAAAAACCCAGTAGACGCCTACTCCGTCTCTCCCATTCATACCCGTAATTACAGCAAGGCGGCTAAAAGCGAACTGACCGCTAAGGAGAGAGAGGCAGGCTTCAGAAACAAAGTCTGGATCAAAAGAGACTCTCTCTTAAATTCATCACTGTTAAGAGCTTTGGCGTTAATCCACATTCATTTCCATTAATGAACTAGGTGTCAAGGCAGGTGCTGGAAAACAGCTGTTAATGGGGACCAAACGGGTTTACATGAGACCTGTTTTTCAAATGTGTTTTTAACCCTGCCCAGAACCCTTCTCACTGTTCCATTTTGGTTAATTCAGGTCTCAACCCTCACTCTATTTTAGCGGTTTTACCCTTTTGCACATTCTGTGGTGTAAGACATCTGTAGGAGAGCGTTGAACACCCTCTAAGAGCCAACATCACGACGAGAATGTGATAACGAATGGGTTCCAAGTGTAAAGGCTACTAAATCCAGCCCAGCACAGAGGCATTTACAGGCATCATGGTTTTACAGTAATAAATATTTACATCTGAGTGGCGGAGTCACTGCCAGGATATCACACAAGCTGAAAAAAGGAACGACACCCGCTTGAAGGACTCCAACTGCTGTCAAGAGAGACAAACAGGCATCACCTTACCCTACTCGAAAGATCATAATTGCCGCTTTATGAGCAAATTTTATCTGGAAGGACCCAAAAGGGCTTTATGAACACATTGTTTAGAGAGGAATGACTTCATCGTAAGGTGACAGACGGCAGCTGTTTAATGACATGGAGCATTATCACACGACAATTTCAGCCAGGAAGGGTAGAACAATACCATACCCAATTGAAAACTGCAGGGGGTTGCGATTTATAGACACAGAATGTAATTACCTAAATTGGA